GTGACTCATATCCATGCAAGAGCATAAAAGAGAAATTTTCTCTTGATTATTGCAGGTGAGATAATAGATAAAAAAAAGAAGAGAAATAAAAACCATATTGCTTCTCACCTTCAACCAGCTGGGATATCCCTCTATTCCATTAGTGCTCTCAGACCATGAGAGCTTATTAGCCTGGGTGCATGCTATGCAATGTATAGTTGACCATTTCTGTCAGAGGCATGTTTGAAAATCACCCCCTCACCTAAAAAACGCTCCTGGACAGTTCTTAAATGTGCTAAAGGAAAGTTTAAGAAGTCAGAATGTATCATCATCCCAATGGTGGAAAAATCTTCTCTGGAAAATTGTTAGGAGAGGCCTAATGGATTGACTCAAGTGGGAGTATAGCTTCACGTTATAGATAGAGGAAAAAGGTACGAATCCTGAACATCTCAGTGGACTTCAAGGTCAGCTGGGGGCTGTATACTAACATAGCAAGAAACCTTAGAAACCCAGCGTCCAAATAGGCAGGAAAGAACAAGACCAGGGTAAAGAAAGGATCCAAATTACAGCTGAGGAACTCAAAGTCCTCGAGATGTTTCAATATCTTTCAACAACATCTTTCAACAACAAAGATGTTTCTTGAAATTCTATATGACTTGCCCTAGGTAGAGTACAAAGATGACTTTAAATCCCAATAATTCTAATACAGTGATTAATCCAAGAGCACTTGCAGAACATGAGGCACAATCTAAATCCAACTGAATGTGCTCGTTCCAGAAAACAAAACCCACCAGACTGTATAGGTTCCTCTGGCATTGAACATGTTGTTATTAAAGAAAACATCAGCTGAGAGAGGTTCCAACATCAACTACTTGTTGCAAATATGAGGTGAAAGGTTCTAGTTTCATTGCAGATCTCTCTGTGGCCTGCAAATCCTTTATTTTGCCATTTTCTCATACCAGAGGATTTTGCATCACTGTTTACAACATTTCCCAAAGTTCAGTGAGAACAGTGCATTCCTTGGTGCCTTTGGTTTACCCTGAGTTATGGTAAAACAACAGCACCTCTCCAAGCCTGTCCCAGTATGGAGCAAAGTCCCCTGGGATTTATATTTGTTTTGTAAACTGGCTTGATGGAGTGAAACAAAATGTGGAAACTTCAAAGGCTTCTTGCTTTGAATATTCTGCACAGCTGTTGTCTCACACTGAATGCCGAGACAGGGGAGGGTTTTACGTGTGACATTCTTGGTGTTGCATTGCAAAACTGCATTGTATCAAGGGCTGTGCCCTCAAATTGATGATGAAAATGAACAGCCCCTGCTTGTATGAGTAATCCCATCTGCTTCCAAAAGACGCTCTGAAAAAAAAAAAAAAAAAAAAAAAAAAAAAAAAAAAAAAAAAAAAAAAAAAGCCATTTTTTTACTGGGAAGCTTTATGTTTAGTTAATGTTAGAAGCCAGCCCTTTCCACCCAATATAGATATAGTTCAGGCAAATGCAGGTATACTTGCATGTATATGTTGTTAATTTACATTGACTTACAAGGAAGCCCAGTGGCCAAGCAAACTGAGCCCTGTCTGGAGCCAGGAGAATATTTAATCTTTTCTCATTGCTGCCACAGTGTTGCCTGCCTGACCATGGGCAATTGAGTGATCTCAAGCAAGTGACTCTGAGCTTCATTTTTTGAGCTTCATTTTTCGCTAGGTGTAAAATGGCAGAAAGCAACAGTGTGCTTTTGGAGAATGCTTTGAGGCTTCATGAAAAACACAGTAAGAAGCAAGTAGCGGCACCATGGTTCAGAAAGCAAGATTTCTCACCCGGCACACTTCTAGAAATGTCTCTGGTTCTGGCATGAGTACTTTATTCTCCGTCTTACAACCAGCCCTTCTTCAAGCTGATGGTGGCTTAGAGTCAGCAAGGCAGAGGTTAGTAATGCAGGGTCAGTGAAAAATAGGAAAGCATTACCAAAACTCAACCCTAGAAGGCAATAAGATTGGCACATACAGCACTGACCCAGCAATCATGCTAATTGGGTGCATTCTTGATTACTATTGACAAGCTGTGTAACTTTGGGCAAGTTGCTTCACTTCTCTGTGCCTCGGTTTCCCTGGCTGCAGTTGTACTTGCTTTTAAAGTGAGTCATCCCTCCTAGCTAAGATGTAATGCTGAACTGCACCAATATTGTCCTATTCCTTTTGGGTGGCTTTAGGACCAAGGAACTGAAGAGGGGTTGGATGATCATATGTATTCCTGCCTCTTCCTGAGCTATTTGAAGGCATAGCTTGATTTCAATGGCTGTTACCCCTAAAAAGGTTTCCCCCTGTTGATGTCCCCTTGATTTCTGTTAACCTTGTGAGATGATTTGTGATAGAGACACTTTCTTTTCTGTTACAGTTGGGACATGTGGCCTTTTTCCATTTGAAATCCACTACTGATGTTCCCTCATGCCCTAAGGAATAAGGACATTGTGGAGATGGGTTTAACTGAATTGCCTATTTATCAAAGGCTGCTATATCTTTATTCTTTAGCAGTAACTGTTTTCTGCTTTCTTTTTGGTAGCCTTTTCTTTTTCTTTTTCTTTTTTTTTTTTTTTGCAAACTGGTTTAAAAACAAATACCCTTCATGACACTGATATAAATGTCTTCCCCTCTATTTTGACTAATTGACAATAACCCAAGGGCTGCTCAAGCAGACTTCCCATGTTCTGCCTTAAGCCCTTTGTCACCAAAGTGTTTTTTCTCTCCCCCATATACGGAGTCAGTCAAATCTAATTACCCCTTAATCAGTAAAATCAACACCTGCTAACAGGGTGGGCTCTTTTAGCAAATACTGCTTTGTTTTTTTCCACAGTGCTGATAAATTTCCAGGGGCCCTATTACTCCTTTGTCCTGCTGATAAGGGGTTTTGACTGATAGTCTGGTAATAGGGATGGTTATCTCATGTCTATTATGTAACAGTGGTGAATCTTCCTCTTGGCAGGGATAGAAGTAGGTGAGACAGAAATGATATGTAGATGGTAGGAGCCAAGAGACTTGATCTTTTCGCTTTAAAAATCAGATCAACCCTGGAAACCATGGGTCAGAGAGAGGTAGTGAATGGGATTAATGCTCAAGAACTGACTTGTTGGCACCTTCAATGTGGATCCTCAGCATGTGAAGAGCAGTTTGGGGGAAGGAAGGTTGCCACAGGGCCACACTGTAAGGGTGGATAGGCTGTGGGCAGGATTCAAGCTCAAACACATGATTTTCCCTGCTATACTCATCCTTAGTGGCTGGTAAAACCTGAGTAAGGTTGGTGGTATGAACAGAAGCAAAAGCAGAGGGGTTCACAGGGCTTCCAGATGCTCCTGAATTGGCTTTTGCCACCCAGCACAGGCCAGGAAGGATCCCTGGTGGAAAGGAGGAATGCAATACTCATGGCAGTGATCTTGAAAATGCCTTTCATGTGTAATCTGACAGCCAGTCTGATTTTAATCAGAGATCATTTGAAACACTGGTAGAAAATTCAATATAAGAACCTCTTTACAAATGCACACAGCTCTGAAAAAATAGAGCCTTTTGGACTGAAGTCTGTTGTGCTTGTTCTCAGCTTTGAGGTGAATGTTTTGGAGAAGTTTGGCCTAATTCCATATGGACAGAGAATTCTCCAAGACAGAGAAGTATAAATCAGCCATGGTTTTCGCTTGGGTGTTGTTCCTATTCAGGTTGTTTTTGCAACATAGAAGCTGCAGCTTTGTTCAATGGTTGTGGGTGGCCCTGGCTCCATCTCCCTTTCTCTGGTAGCCTCACACAGTGCTCATATGTGTGTTACACAGCAACAGCTAAAATGCCAGCACTGGCTTTACTTATCAAAACTAGTCCCTATAGCTACAGCATCACTCCACCTCTGTTCTGTGCAGATGTCTTGGTTATCTGCACACAAGTCTATACTTGATCTAGAACTGATGCTGATCTCTGAGAGCTCTTGATTACCAAAGCCCAAGATCTCCCTCCTGCTCCCAGGGAGATCAGGGTCCACCTGCAAGTCCTTGTGGCACAGTGCAGTCCAATTCCAGGTTCCCAGAGCTCCGCTCAGCTTTTCCCAGACAGCATCGCTGGCTTGATACTGCCAGGATGCAGATGGAGGTGAGGCAGGATGAAGTCCTGGAGAAGCTCCCAGCTAAGCTGGAGCCCTCTTAGCTCTGCAGGATGAGCAGAGCTCTAGGTAACACCAAGGCAGTGCTAGTTGGAGGTTAAAGCGAGGGAAGGGAAGGACACAGGTTTCCTGGGCTTGGACACTGTAGCTTACAAACTCTGAAAATTCTGTTCAGGAGGATAGCAGGGAGGCTGGTTTAGCTGGTTCCTGTCAGAAGGCAGGAGGATTTTGTGGGCTGAGACCAACTCCAGTCCCACAATGAAATCTCAGAGGGTTTGAACCCTGGGCCCATGCAAAGTCTCCCCTATTGTAGGATCAAGAGTCAAAATATCTGAAGAATTGTCCTGTCACCGGTCTGGCAGGACCTGACTTCTCCTGCTGATTTCAGCAGCAGCTACAAGTTGCCTCTCACTCCAAAAAYCAGTGTGAACTTAGGAGCTTTGTTTTGGGCTCCCTCCATTGAAAACCSTGCCTGCCCTTCTGCCCCAGAGAGACAAGATCCCAGGAACAGCCTAAAGCAACAGCAACTGGGCTCCTCCAAACCAGCTCCCCGGGGCACACGAACACTGGCCCTCCCTGAGCTCCTGCTCCTGCTGGACAGCTGCGCGCCCGCAGCCCGGAGCTGACTCAGGCAAGGGGCGGCTTTCAGGACCCCGGGACCTCCGCCAAGGCTCAGGTAGGTCTGTCTCATTCGTCAGCCTCGCTCCGTGCACATTCAGTCGCTGCCAGGGATGCGTGCGTTTGAGCGAGCGCCCTTCCTGCCTGCTCCCTGCYGCTCTCCCAGGCAAGGGGGCTGACAGTTTTCTCCGGGCAATGAGGAATATCGGACTGGGACAGAGGCTGCTTTCCTTTTCCTTTCGGAGGCAGACAAACCGTGGGGATATTTAAGGATGCGCTGCTCAGATGTGTCTCCTGCCGGCACTCTTCTCGGGATCTGTCTCTTGGCAGCTTTCAGCAACTTTGCTAAGACTTCRGCGGACTTCTCAGGTAGGAGCAAAAAGATCTTTTAGTGTATTTGTCTGCTGCTTGTAGATGGGAGCTCTTAGTACACTTTATTCGGGAATAAGCCAAGAAAAGTGGATGTGAGCTGGTCTGGGATAGTTACGCAAGGAGCAATTTTAATCCTTTAAAAATAATCTCGTGAGAAGGATCTTCAGTAAAGGATTCCAAGTTTGTTAAAAGACTTTCTTAATAATCCTGAGCAAAACTATTTCGTCAGAGCTGGGTCTGAATAATTGGGAATAAGGAAGGAAACAATGTCAGCTTCTGTCAGCTTATAGCAGTTTTTGTGCTGTGTTTCTCTGAAGAGGTGAAGAGAGCTCAGTTAGGAGACTGGGGAGGTCCAGAACACAAGTTTAAGGAACACAGTAAGATCAAAGTATTTTCTAACRGGCCAGATTCCTCTGCTCTTAACACACAGCGCCTGACTGCTTCAAAAGTCCCCTGAGCTCAAGTATAGGAGATGTTACACACTCTGAGTGAATCATGTTCTCAGCCTATGTGTTCTTAGACCAGGGGAAAATAAAAAGCCTCATTTCTAAATACATTGTAAAATATGAAACTAAAAATGTTCACAGCACATGTTTTGAGATGTGCACAGTGGTTAAATACCCTGCACCTTGATAGAGTGAAATTCCATATAAGTTTTAGAACTACACACAGCTGCATAAGTCACTTTGAGCTTTCTRCCTTTTTTTCTTTCTCTTTGTGGATGTACGTTTGGGTCGGGGCAAATTACTTCACTCATTTTGCAGCTGATCGGGGGTGACTCGTGTGCTCAGGAATGGCCAGCGCGGATCTCTGCTCTTGCCTTGAGATCAGTTCTAATTCTGTGTCTTAGTGCGAAGATTAGTCCAGCGTATACTTCAGATATGTAAGTGCTGCAGCACTCCAGCGTGTAGGAGCTGCCAGGGGTAGTCTGCTGATGCTGAAGTGTTATTAGCAAGAGCTGAATGTGGCAGGACTCTGGTTTTAACACATCAGGGCACTGCTGCTTGCTTAAGGTGCCTTGTGCTGCTGAGCGATCTGTGTTAGAAAGGAGGAGCCTGTGGTGGAGRGGGGGATGCAGGTAGCCTGAAACCTTCTGCTTAATGTGAATTGAAGGGGGGGGAACTTGCCTATGATTCAGTTCTGGGGGCTGCCATTCAAGGTGGAGCTGCCCATGAATGGGAGGACTGCAGAGCTTCCCTCCTCGTGGTGGGTTTTCATCCCACGCGTTCTTGGGAAAGAGCTTCCCCTCGCTGCTCCTCAGGGCGAGCCCCTTAACGCAGAGCTGGTGCAGGGAGTGAGCAAGTTGCAGGGAAGCTGCGGTGTAGGAAGCACTGGTCCTTCTGAAACATGAGCAGAGCCAGCCCCACCGGTAAGTTTTCACATTTGCAAAAGTGGCCCAGAGCAAGGGTACGTCCCCAGTATGCGTGTGTATGCAGAGAATGGAAGCAAATTCAGCAGGRTTTAGTGATGGCATGGATAGAGGAGAGGAGGAAGGATGCTGTCAGTTAAAAAAATGCACAGGAAAAATTTTGATAACAAAATCTTATTTTCTGCAGCATTCAACTGTACTGTCACACTTTGAGAGAGGAGGGATAGTTTAAAAGCCTGKGTAGTTCCATAGTAGGGTTGTTCTCTGAAATATGGTCTGTAATGCTAACAGCAGARCCTGCCATGTGTTCCCATGTCCTTGTGCCAGATCCTGGCTATGTTTCACAACAGCAAGCTTGGCAGGCACGTTGGACTGGACCTTGCGGGACAGGAAACGTGGTTTGGGGCAGGAAAGGGCAGGACCCAGTTTATAGCGACTCTGATACTGGTCTGTGAGATCAGAGGCCRGGCAGCCACAGGATGAATGTGGATAAGGAAAAGTACGGTATTTTCCAGATTGCACTCTGTSCTTTCCCAAAATACTTAGTGAAGATCAGTGCTAACAGCTCAGCCAGCAGTCGTGGTGCAGCCCATTGCCCTCCCCAGGGCTCGCAAGGAGAGCAGGGACCCTGGTAACCTCTCTTGCCTCGTGGAGTGGCTCTTTTGTTGCTCTTTTATTACTCCTGTATCTGGATCATAGAATCATAGAATGCCTAAGGTTGGAAGGGACCTCAGACATCATCTAGCCCAACCCCCTGCTCACGCAGGGTCACCTAGAGCACGTGGCACAGGWCTGTGTCCAAGCGGGTTTTAAAGATCTCCAAAGAAGATCAACTTCTTAATCTTCATCAACTGCTACAAGGAATGGAAGCATTTTAGCATAACTTGACCATAATGGTCTTTAGTCATTTATACACCAGGGGTTCCGGGCCTGTCTATTTCAGCAGGTGAACAGACATTCACCTTGGGGAGTCCCTATAGMCACACCATCCTACCTACAAGTGGTGCATTTGAAACAAGAGTTGTCTATGTCCCTAGAAGATGAACAGAGGCTTCTGTAGCAATTTGACAGCTGTTCACACGCTGTAGGGAGATGCCAGAACTCATTGGGATGTAATGGCTTTCCCAAGTGGCAAATAGTAATATTCTTCATATTCTTCTCAGGCGGCAGATGATGCTTTTCAGAGAAAAAAAAAAATATATATATATATTTCCTTTAATACCTCAATCCTATAGACCTTGTTTAGAAATTATGTTTTACTGGCTTCTTGGCTTGTTTTGGATCAGCACTGCTAGGGAGGGTCTACTGTTGGGAGYATACCATGGTCTTTTTGTGATGAGCGAGACCATGTTTAGCTCCAGTTCTAGAAGGAACAGAGGAAGATGGTCAACCTTGATCAGAGGCAGTTCTGATCTTGCTCACACACTTCTAGGCAGTAGGTTTGGCAGAAACTATTACTAAGAGCCCTGCTCTGCATGCCTGCAGGTCCCTTGGTAGAGCAGAAGGACCGTCAGGGGTTGCTGACCACTGGCTGTCTTCAAGGTGGACACCCTGAGATGGAAGGAGAGGCTGAGAGCAGTGGCCTGAGTCACAACAAGGCAGAGAGGGAGCTGGTGGGGATCAGCGTGTTCTCAGCTGAGCACAAGGTCTCACCATGTGGCTCCATTCCTGCTGTTTGAACAGCTCGAATCACTACTACCTGAGCACGAGGAGTGCATGTCGTGCTGGAGACCAGTGCAATCTGAGATGTAAGAATTAAAATTCCTTCTGCATGAAGTATTTGAACTATGTGAAGAGTTTTGAAGTTGTTTTCTTTAATAGTTCTTTAAACATTGACATTTGCAGGAGTGGGAGGTGCAAAGGAGCAGGTCCCCGTGGAGTGAGGGGAGTAACCAGGCAGTCGGCAACCACTTCTCCTTCAGAAGGCCTGGACTTTTTGTCTGTGGCTACTTATTGTGCAGGATCTTGGTCTAATGTAATCTGTGGTTGTTTCTTGAGCTTATGACTGTTTGAGGGCTCAGGTGCCTGTGCCACAATATGTGACATACCTGGTGTTTAAGGTAAAAGCTGAAGACTGTGATGGGGAATGTGATAAAGGTGCTTCTGTGCTTCAACTGTAAAACACAATCCTAATCTCAATCTTAACAACGAGCCATCCCTGCTGGTTGATACAACTTCACTTTTGGCTTAGTCCTGCTCTGTTTGTGGTGGGTGTCCAAGATAAAGTAATGATTTACCCTACCAGAGGATGCTCTTGTTCCCATTCATAAACTCCAAGCCCTGGGAGTCAATGATCCATGTACAGGAAGGGACTTTGCTTTTCCCTCTGAATGTTTTGAGGTTCCTTTTGGCCCATTTCTTAGCCTGTCCAGGCCCTTCTAAATGACAGGGAGCAATGCAAAAGAAAAACTTTCCACTATGGAAGAAGCTTTTATTGACACTTGCACTTTATCTGACACAGCAGAATCCATCTGCAGGACACAAAGAAAGTCCCAGTAGTGCTGCACCCTACATGGACCTACCTTAATATTTAAGATCTCGGCATTGTTTTCAGCACAAGGGGGATCTGAGCAGCATTTTATTTAAGGGAGCCTGGTCTTTCATCAAGTCAAACAAATCCTGGTCTGTCCCATGCAGGTGAGTTCCGGGTAGCTCYGCAGAGCTCTCCCTGGGGGCTCTTCCTGGTGTGGAAGGCACAGAGCTCCCTTTTGTCCAAGAAGGGCAGGTTTCAAGTGAAAGCTGCTCTTGCTACCTCCCTGCTAATTGGCCCCGTGTGTTTGTTTGCGCTGATCAGGGCTGCAGTTGGGCGGGCAAGGGCTCTTCTTTCTCCCTGATTGCTTTTAATCAGCCCATAATAAAGGCAATTTGTCTGACAAGTCTATTCACTAAATTATCACCAAAATCTACATGCTAACAGTCCCTGAATGGCTTTAGCCAGGCTTTGATACTGGTTTTGGAGTACTGAGTGGGTCTATCCTGTCATGGAGSGGTCCAGGATTTTCATGTGTTGAAAGATATAGGCTGCAAAAAGGGGATTTTCAAGAGAAGAGCAGGTATAATTTCTTCGCCAGTGCAGCAGTGTAATATTCAGTAAGGAGGTTTGTGCTGTTGCCTGCCAAGGGCAAAGAGCCACATTTTAGACCTTGTTTAAAGACTGAGCCAAACCCTAAGCACCTTCACACCTTCTCTTGGTGAAGGGCTCTGAAGGATGAGGTTGAATAGACCTTAGGCTGCTCCTTGAAGAGGTTATTGCTTGAGGATGTATTTTCCTTGTGGTTGCATGTGGAGGTTATATGTGCCAATACATCTACTGCAGCAGTGTGGGATACAGGTCTCTGTGCAGCTTGGTGAAGGAGGACTGTGCTGGCAGAGAAGTTCTCCTTTGCAGAGGTGATAAAGTTTAAAACCTCAGTAGAGCTAGTTAAAAAGCCAATTTTGGCTGGTTTTGACCATGTTCTGGAGATCTAGATATTGCTGTGCTTCAGGTGAGTTACATCAAAGAGGTCTGCTGAGCTGAGGAAGGTTGTYTGGGTCTATCAGATGGAGCTGAGTGTCTTCTCATGGATAAGCTGTTGGTCAAAGTCACCAGAGTTTAATGTCCTGTGGGTGCATCAGTCAATGGGCAGCG